TGGATTACATGTAGAGGTACACATGAAACACTTGATCAGAGATTTCTGAGAAGCACTTGCTTACAATAACATGAAGAAGTCCATGACCAGATAGGCAGCTTTGGGAGTCCCAAATGCGATAGCAACTAAAGGCAACAAAATACCTAAATGTAAGCAGGAAGTATGGACAGACACAGGGCCACTTCAATCTCTGAAAAGAAGGCACAGGAAAAAAGTGATTCTCTATAAAAGGTACATGATAAAGTCAGGAATCCGCTTACCTTACAACTTCATATTTTAAAATTTTATCTACATATAGAAAACTGTTAGCAGTGGCTATCCTGAAGTGGTTAAAGATCATAGGTGACTTAACTTCAATAGCATGAATGTATAATTAGGAAAGAATGAATTTATCTTTCCAATTTACAGTCTAGTTTTCATTACAAAATCAGTGTTAAATGGTCTTTATTCAAACATGATGCAAAATCATGGAAAAGTTAGTAGTTTTTTCCTTTTTTTAATGATTATTCAATTGAAAGGCAGAATTAGAGAGGGAGAGCGTTCTTCCATCTGTTGGTTCACTCCCCAAAAAGCTGCAAGTAGAAGGGTGGCCATTTTTTGCTGCTTTCACAGGTACATTACCAGGGTGCTGGATCATAAGCGAAATACCCTGGACTTAAAGTGGTATCAAAATGGAGTGTCACATAGAAGGTGGCAGCTTTACCTGGACTCCCAACAGGGGTCCCAGGAGGCTATATTTGAAAAAATCTTTCACTATAACTAGTTTAATTCCATAGATGTAAATGTAAAGTCAATTTTAAAGAAAGAAACAAACAAACACAAAAGCATATACTACCACTACCTCAACGATGCTTGTCACAACACTTTAACTCATGTGTTTCCTCCCTTCCACACCAGGGCTACTTCCTGGGCGGTACAGGAAGTGTTCTCCCTCTTCTGCTGGGTATGAACTGGGCTCTGCTGATGCCACATCCACCACTTAGCTGCATTTTCAGCCTGCACACAAAGTACACCGAATCAGCTTACTTTTCCAATGGTGCACATTTTATAAATATTCCTGTCTTCTCCCCTACACAGACACCCAAGATGGGATGGAAGGAGCCTGATCTCCAGGGCACAGCCTCCACTGAGGCCTGAGCCAAAACTGGAGCAGGTGACTGGGACAATGGCACTTCATGGGCCTATCATAAAAGGAAAGGCACTTGAGCACAATGTAGACGCTAATAGCTTTGGTCCAGAATCCTGGCTTTGCCTAGAAATCATAGTAACTCTAATTTTAAGCAGATGTTAATGTAAAGCATTTATTGACAGATAACCTTAATGAAAGTAATGGACTCCAAAGCAAAGACCACAGGCCTGGTCTTTCAGTCTGATGATCCAAGTAACTCAGTGAATACAAGAAAATCAAAGGATCTGTAGGTTCAATTATTCCATCAAGGAAATGAGGGCTAGATTAGCCACTGTCAACCATTTCTAGGAGCCACAGTTTAGAATTTTTACATGAAGGAATCTGTACCTAAAAAACACATACGCTTCATAAGACAGTACCTTTCTTCTGATAAAATAAACCTAATAGAGCACACAGACATCCTCCTGTTATATCATTTAAGGTAATTACAACAGATGGTCCACTACTTACAGTTTATTAGGCCTCTTTTACTATGCAGTTTTGACTCCAATTGTACTGAATGCACTTTGTTAGTATCTGCATGACCAGCAACTAGCATTATTTTCTTTGTCCTGTGCTTTCATAAATGGCAACTACTTACTCCTGATAGGTACCTACTATGGAGCTTGAGAAACCAGCTCTAGACTCACCTCCACCAACCACTCCCCTAGTCTGCTTTAAAAGGTACTTTTGAAAGCCAAATGACAGGACTGATGTGTCAGTGTGTTGAAATTGCTAGATATTGTAATGAAGCAGGTACTCACATCTGTATATACAGCTATTTTAAGTAGGACCAGATACACACCCAATCTTTCAACTTCATATAAAATGTAACGGATCTGTAAACAGTGTGTTTTCTCATGTAGCTAATGCTCTTGGAAAGGAATCTCAGATCAAAATGAGACAAGCATACTAACTGATTCATGATAAGCATCTGACAGTGGTCCAAACATGACTTAGGAAGGTTGTATCCCATGTCAAAGTGCTTGGGTTTGCATCCCGGCTCTGCTCCCCAGTCTAGATTCTTGTTCATGCAAAACTTCGGATGTAGTAGGATATAGCGCAAGTGTTTGGGCCCCTGGTCATCCAGGTGGAAAGACCTGCACTGAGTTTCAGCAGCTTTATTCAGTCTGGCTAATTCCTGGCTGCTGAGGACATCTGAGGGGTGAATCAATGTGTGGAAGAATAAAAATTGTTTGAAGCATTTTAATGATACAACCTCTTAACCCACCAGCTACACTTGAGACAAAAAAGGTGAAAGGATAATTAACAAAAAAATTGATCTGCACATACAACAGATGGGTTTTTAGTGTGAAAAAATTATCAACAATTAAAATAATTTTAAATAATATAGGTAAAAGAATAGCTTTGATGATATGAAATACCACTCTATACTGTTAGTGGGAGTGTAAGTTGACAGAAACTTCCAGGAAGGCACCTGTCAACACACTTTCAAATTTAGAATGAATGACCTAAAAATTCCACCTGTACAAACATACACTAAGGAAACAAATTCACAAAAATGTACTTTCAAGGGTGAAAGGAACAAAAGGTGGGAGAGATAGTATATACAGCAACAAAAACCCCATAGCATATTTACTGTACGCTGTGCGGTGAAAAAAAAAAAGTTCATTAACGAAAATTATGAGACAGCAGATCTGTCTTCACCTTAAGATGCCCACAATATATTCACATTCATTGTAGTGACACACTGTGTGATGCACTTCAGAGACTAGCATGAGAAGTGAGTGGCTGCGGGCAGAGCCCCGCACTGCCTTATGGGCATCAGCAGAAAGCATCTCCTGGCAACCACACCCCCACAGGCTCTCCACACTCATCTTGTTTTGTGGTCTAGGCAGAACCCACCATACTCCAGATACACAGCTTCCCCTCACCATTCCCACACATCTCCTTGTTAAAGGGATACACCCATGCTGGGATGGGATCATGGAATTCTCATTTATGTTATCATGCCCTGGCTACTGCTATTACAACAGAGATCTACTACTCACTGATAAGAATGACACTTCTTATCACAACCTGACTTGCACTGCTCTTCCTTGCCCTTACCCTTTGCCCTATGCTTCAGGACAGTTTGCGTCAAGGTTATCAATGAAATGCACATACCTAATAAAATCACTACCCCAAGGCCACATAATACAAAGGTGGATAGCAAAAAATGCCATTCTCACACAAAGCAAAGCAACTCAGAACTGGAAAGCAGAAAAAGCCTTTAAAAGGAACGCCTCTCCCAAACACATAAGTCTTCTCTCTCTCTCTCTCTCTCTCTCTCTCTCTCTCACACACACACACACACACACACACACACACACACACACACGCACACAAAAGTACACTCCAGAAATACACAAGGAAGCACTGCCACCGTTTATCATTATTCCTGCCATTCAACTCAACCGGGCGGGTTCCCAAAAAAAGCCAGCAATTTGAAAACAACAAAAACCCCAGAGTGATTACTATGCAGTTAGGCAAGGCATCTGTAAAATAATACAACCGCTGGACTAGGATTAAAGAACCGGGTTCTCTTCTTGGCTCTATGGAATATGTAATTTTGCACAAGGCAAAAATCACAACCTCGGGTGGGTCTCATTTTTCTCATCTCTGAAGTGGAGGCTGGGCTCCCAAATCCGCCAGTCCACCTCGCAGCTCCCTGACAGGAGCCCCTAACACCGGTGGAAAAGAACCCAACTCGGTCAGGAGCAACATTTTTTTTTTTTTTTCTGAATCCCTGCTGCCTTTCTCTCCCTACTTCTCTTTCTCAATTCTTAAACTTGATTCTCAATCGGAAGAAAAGGTCTGCGAGGACCCACGAACAGCTTTCTCAAAAGATTCAAAAAAAGGGAGGAGAGAGGGCAGCAGTCTGTTTACACGCGAATACGTTATTTTTTTTCCGAGCTGCCAAGGCCCCCTAGGGAAGCACTAGGCTGGTGGGAGGTTTAAATATGTCTTTTACAACAAAGAGCGCCAGCACAGAAAAGCTGCTACCAGACCCCCGCAACCATCACTCACATGTTCCGAAAGGCACAGGAAGCCACCCGTGTTCTGCTTGGACAGGATTTACTCCTCCCCTCCTTCCCCAAGTGGCCAATGTGTCAGGAAGAAAAGCTCTGCGACCGAGTCAGCGGGAGGAACCAAGGTTTTTAAGGGCCTCTCCGCCGTCCACAGTCAAGTGCCTCTGAGTACAATGTACTTTCTGTGATGAATTCACCGCGACGCGTCCGACGCAGCCTACTCACACGCTCAGCCCTGGCCCGAGCATTGCCCCGACGCGTCGGGGCGGCAGCGTGGACGAAGTCACAAGATAGCGGCGGGAGTGGAAATTTCCTCTCCCCAGGCGTGGGGCAAGGAGGGCTGGCTTCCCCTGCAGCCACCCGCTCGGCGCGCCGGGCGTGCCGGGCGCCTCCGCGGCGGCCTCTTCGGGGGCCGGCGCGCTTCGCTACAAAAGGAGGCCCCGGGGACACTCGGGTCGCCCACGCCGGGGGTTTCAGGGCTGGCCAAGGGAGTCCCCCCCCCGGCTTCCGGAGTCGCTGGAAGCCGGAGGCCGCGGGGAGCACGTGCGCCCCGCTCCGGGAGGAAGGAGCCCGCGCGGGGTGCTGCGGTGCGGCCCGGCCGGGGGCCGTCCGAGGAGCCGGTGCCTGCGGGGGGCCGACGGCGGCCCCCTCCGTCCGCTGGCTGGCCCAAGTGAGAAATGAATGGAACCGCGCGCTCCGCCGCCCACCCGCGCCCTGCCTCAACATGGGCGGCGGCGGCGGCTGCCGGGACCCCCGGCTCCTCCCGCCGGCCCTCTCCCACCCAACCGCCGCCCGCTCACCCCAGCTCTTGGCGGTGCGCCCCAGGAACTCTCCGGAGGTCGGGTTGTAGATGAAGCGCTTCCACTCAGCCAGGCTCTGGTTGAAGGACTTCTTCTCTTTCTTCGTCATGGTGTGTGCGCGGACGGCGAGGCGAGCGACGGCCGCGCGGGAAGAGGCGGCGAGGAGCGCGGAGGCGCGTCCCGGCACGAGCGGCGCAGCCCGGCGACGGCGGCGGCAGAGGGCGGGACGGTCACGGACACCTCCTCGTTACGCGGGAGCAGCCGGGCCGACTGCGCCGCGCCGGGCCGGGCGGCCACTTGGGCCGCGGGAGCCTGACGTCGCCGCGCGCCGCAGCCAATCCGAAGCCGAGGAACGGCCGGAGGCGCCGAGGATGCCCCGCCCCCGGCCCGGCCCGGCCCGGCCCGGCTCGGAGGAGCCTGGGCGCTCCCGGCCCCGGCCGGAGGAAGCGGGGAGTTTGGTGGAGGGGCAACGTTGAAAAAAAAAAAAGTCTCAAGGACTCAGTCACAGTGATATTTATAAGGGTCCGCGCAATGCGGGAGGCCCTGGCCTGCGGGGTTCCTCCGGGGGAGGACCGGGCTGCGGGCGCGGGCCCGGGGCGCTGCCGCACGGGCAGGCTCTCTCTAGGAGATGCTGGCGGCCGCGGCGCGGGGGCCGACTAACTGTTCTGGGGGAGAAACCCGCTCAGGCCGAGCCGTCCTCACCGCGGAGAGGACTGACCGCCGCATTCTGAACCGCTTTTCCAGGCCGTGCCCGGGCGTTCTGTGGCTCTGTGACGTTGCTGAGAGACGCTGCGATGCGACCTCGTGAGGGGCCGGGATCTGTGCACCGCACGCTGCTGCTGCTACTCCAAGAATCGGCCTCACCTCGTGGGAGGATGGAGCCGGGAATCTCGAGCCCCGGGAATCTCGAGCCCCGGGCACTTCGTCCTAAAAAGGCCAAAATGAGCTAAATAGAGCGCAGTCTGAATTTTTCCCCCTTGAACTGCACAGAACTCACTCTTTTGTTGAAGTTCCTGTCACCCAGAGACCCACCCGCGCTTGGTCTTGGATGCCCCGAGTCTCTAGGAAGCCTGCACTGGGCTTGGTGTGGCTACCGGGATGTTTTCGGGGCGGGAGGGCAGGCAGGCAGGCGGAGCCGGGGGTGCAGCGGACAGGTGCCCCGCCAGAGGTGCAGCTGGCGAGCGCAGCGCTGGGGCTGGTGCCCACCCTGCAGAGACACTTGCTGAGGAGTTGGTATGAAGAGAGAAATGGAGGGCCGCCTCAGTTGTGCTAATAAGCAAAAGTTATGAATGAAGAAAGGCTGTCTGGGATGATCAATGACAGTTCTTTGGGAGGTTTAGCGCCTGCCAAGTCTTTGTAAGAATAGGTGGCTAAAGAAAATCCGGCCTTTCTTCTTTTTTTCATTACTCGGTTTATCAAAGCCAAAAATTCTGAATTATGCCTCCCCCAAACCAGGAAAGATGCAATATATTATAAATTATTTTTGTGTGTGCCATGGCATAGTAGGTTAAGCCTTTTCCTGTGGTGCCGGTTTCTCATTTATGTTCCATTTCCACGATTCAGGTCCCTGTTAATGGCCTGGAAGAACGACAGAGGATGACCCAACGCCTGGGGACCCTGCACCTGCAAGGCAGACCAGAAACAAGCAAGCTCCAGGCTCTTGACTTCAGACAGGCGCAGCTCTGGCTGTCTGTGGCCATCTAGGGAGTGATTCCGAAGATGGAAGAGCTCTCTCCCTACTCTCACCCTCCTTTTTCTCCTCGCTCTGTAATTCTGAGGGCAGCGTTACAGAGAAAGGAAAAGAGACAGATGCTGCACCTGTTGGTTCACACTCAAAGGCCAGACAACAGCTGGACCAGGAGTTTACACTGTGTCTCCCATACGGGTGCAGGGCCCTGAGCATTGGGGCCATGCTCTGCTGATTTCACAGGTGCATGCAAATCTGTTATTACAAACCAACTCTTTTTTAAATTATTATTAATTACATTGCATTATGTGACACAGTTTTATAGGTGAAACCAACTCTTACAGAAGTTATAATTATCACCTTGTGAATGATGACCAAAGAAAAGTTCCTTTTTTTTGACATGAAAGGATTGGCGTTGTATCATGGGAAATGAAAATAGTATGAAAAATACCGAAACACCATGCAAGGCAATTAGGATGCATTTCTTTAGATCCTAGGCAAGAATGAAAGAGAACAGAAGAATAGAAGTAGTTAACTTTACCTCACTAGAAATCTTGTTATCAATGAGAGCAATGCTAACATAGAGGTAAAATTGATAATATCTTACTAACTTAAAAAATATATATTTATTCATTTTTGAGAGGCAGACTTAAAGAGAAAAGGAGGGGATCCACAGAAAGAGAATCTTACCTCTGCTGGTTCACTCCCCAAATGGCTGCAATTGCTAGATCTGAGCTGATCCCAAGCCAGGAGCTGAGAGTCTCCTCTGGGTTTGCCATGTGAATGCAGGGGCCCAAGGACCTGAGCCATCCTCTCTTGCTTTCCCAAGCTGGATCAGAAGTGGAGCAGCCAGCACTCTGGTACTGCAGGCAGAGGATCAGCTTGCTAAGCCACCACACTGGACTCCACAGAATGTATGATGAAATGGAAAGCCCATCTGCTTATTTTATGTGTGTGTGCTAATATAAAGCACCTTTTGAGAAATGATTACCTGGCACACACAAAACATGGAAAATAAAAACATGAAATGGTACTCCAAAGATACCGGCTATTGTCAGAGATGTGTAGTCTGTATTCTGGTAGCATCACTATGACTTTTCAGACTTAACTGCTTTGTAATTTTCCAAGTAAAGACTAAAATACAAACATAGTTCATGTAAGAAATTTAAAATGCCATAGCTAGTCTAGTACACTGCCTAGGTCCAGTAGATTTCAATGTGGACAGATTGTTATGTTTTTATTCTAAAACTTGGAAGCTTTTAATTTTTCTGATATATGATGCTTGAGCATTGCCTGGAAGAGAAAATACCGGGCATCTAGGGGGGGATACTGATTTACCAAATATGGGCAAATAAAATATTAAACTTAGCACATTTGTATGCCCTGTGGGTTTAATTTCCTGTTTCTTTTTTATAGAATGCCACTTACATTTGAGTGTTAGCTGACGTGGATTTTTTAACATTAATATGTTCAATGCAATATTTAGAACAGTTACACATTTTTCTGGCTCACTTAATTGAAAAATAATTAAAGGAAGGTATAAATTTAACAGTTTTTCTTTTTAAAAAGAGCTTTAAAAATGATCTCCTAGGAAAGAGATAAATCTAGGCACATAAAAAGGTTTTGTTCCCCATGTATTCTAATTAGTGACCCCAGGAAAATTTGTGTCCATTAAAAAAGAGTAACTTGATATATATGTGCAGGCACACAGATGTGTTCTTCAAAAAGTTCATGGAAAACATTTAAAAGCAATGCATGGGTTTTAATTTTTTTGAATTAAATTTATTGAGACTGGTGTTGTGGCACAGCAAATAAAATTATCACCTGTGTCCCCAGCATCCCATATGACCCCAATTCATGTCCTGCTGCTTCACTTCTGACCCAGCACCCCTTTAATGGCCTGGTAAAAGCAGTGGAAGATGCAAGTGTGCCCTGCCACTCCACATGGGTGACCCAGATGAAGCTCCTGGCTCCTGGATTCCAACTGGCCTAGCATTGGTTATTTTGGCTATCTGGGGAAAGAATCAGAAAATGAGAGATTCTCTCTCTTTATCTCTCCTTTCTTTGACTTTCAAGCAAGTAAACCATTTTTAAAATTATTTTTTAATTTCAAAAATTAAAAGATTTTATCTTTTAATTTCATCTGCCATGAATTTTTGAAGTACTATATATATGTGTATGTATATGTATGCTTGCGTATATTATAAGCAGAGACAAGTTATTAGAAACTAAAAATAAAATTGATAAAATAAAAAATTGTAAGGACTGAAAGATAATGTAAATGAAACCTGTCAAGTTTAAAACAAAGAGGGGAATAAATATTTTTAATAGTTTGAAGTCATACAAGATCAATCCAGAAAGCAGAACCTTCAACCAATAGTTCCAGAAGAAGATAAGGAAGTACAGGAGAGGATATAATGAGAAAAATAATAGAAGAAAACTTAGGAGTAAAGAAAACGGACAGGAGTTTTCAGACTGAAAGTGGATTGAGTGCCAAACAAAAGAAATAAGAGCAGACCCGAATGAAACCATAAACTGTGGTTCTACAAATGCCCAGAAGACCCAAAAAGCTTCCAGAGAACAAACCATAGGTCAACTACAAACAAACTGAAGTCTGATCAGCCCCAGTCCTCACCAATGTGAAGGAGCACTGTGAGTCCTGAGGCGGGGGCCTTAGACATGTCAGAACCTAGAAAATACACTTCTCACAAATCCTTTCTGGGGAAAAAAGAAAAAAAAAAACAACAAAAATGAAAACAAAAACATCAGTTAAGGATAGATTGGTAGAAAGAAAAAAGAATCCAAGAATAAGCAGGACTTGGGATCTGAAAAACGTAATTCCTAGTCCAGAGGGGCGAGAACAGGCCCAGTGTAACAGCTGTGCAGACAAGCAACTGGACTGCACCAGAGAAGAATGTCCTCCAGCCGAAAGTGGATTCCAGGCTACGGAGAGGGGTATAGGGAGTCTGGATAAATTTAGCCTGATAGGGAAACCATGCATTTCTTTTGTTAAGAAGGAAAACAGAAAACCATTAAAAACAGCAGAAAACTGTGTTCCAAATGAAGTAAGCTAAAATGTAGCATTGCTTTGAGCAATTAATGGAGTGCTTGAAAATCTGTTTGGTGAGGTTAGTGATAGAGATTTGCCTCTTCTATTCACTTTCTTTTTCTTTCTTTTTTTGTTTAAAGATTTATTTATTGCTATTGGAAAGGCAAATATACAGACAGAAGGAGAGACAGAGAGGAAGATGTTCGGTTCATTGATTCACTCCCCAAGTGGCCACAACGGCAATAGCTGAGTCGGTCAAAAACCAGGAGCTTGGAGCCTCTTCCATATCTCCCATATGGTTGCAGGGTCCCAAGGCTATGAGCCATCCTCCACTGCCTTCCCAGGCCACAAGCAGGGAGCTGGATAGAAAGTAGGGCAGCTAGGATTAGAACTGGCTCCCATATTGGATTCTGGTGCATTCAAGGTGAGGACTTTAGCTGCTCAACCACCACGAGGAATCTCCCCCCCCCCT